AATAGATTTTGGTTTGACTGTATCTATTTGATAAATGAAGTTAACCAACTAACATTATACATACTCTTTTGGTTTCTGTACCCAATATTTAAAAAATTTACAAATGTAATAAAAATATAGGTATCGGCATCGGTATCGGCAAGTACCAAAAATAAAAGTATCGGTATCGGGCGAGTACTGGAAAAAGTGGTATCGGTGCATCCCTATCTAGTATCATAAATATTATGCTATTATAATTTTTATTAATATTTTGAATTAGTTATTAAATTTTATATTTTTAATTTCCATTTTAATTTTACTAAGATTTAGTAATTTGTGCTTTTGGTGTAGATTTTTATTTTGTGCTAACTCACTTTCACTTAGACAGGAAAAGCTTCATGAATTATGCATCTATTCTTAAACTTCATTCATCATTAATTATGCATGTCTGTTGTGCTGTTTTTAGTTACATCCTGCCAGTAAATATCTTATATATATATATATACAGTGGGTACGGAAAGTATTCAGACCCCCTTAAATTTTTCACTCTTTGTTATATTGCAGCCATTTGCTAAAATCATTTAAGTTAATTGTCTCCAGGAAATCACAAACCTGTGACAGAAAGATTCAGAAATACAGAGACAGCTTTTCCCTTTTTGGGTGAAATGACCTTTGTGACCTTTTTGGTTGCTTCACCACTAACAATCAGTTACAGTAATTACATTTTAATTCATGGTTTCTACATAAAAACTCTTTACAGGCACGATCTGATCTAGGGTCAGTTTTGACTTTCATGTTCTTATGAATGAGATCACATAGACAGATCTGATCCAAAACTAGTACTCTTGAGCTCAAACCCTCCAAATTGGAGATGAAACAACTGAACGGATGAATTATGTGTCTATTTCCAGCCCACTGGAGGCATTCTGGGTAACTCCCATAAGAAAAACTGACAGACAAAGCCTGTAGTCGCACCTCTTATGACTAGGTACCAAGGTATTACAGTGTTTTTTTTATATATAGTAATATCATAAGGGTTTTCAAACTTTCTGACTAACGAATTTCTTTATTACTTTATAATGATTTTAAAAATAATTTCTCACAAATAGAAATTTCTAGCCAATAAAATAGTTTGCATCTGAGCATAACTAGGAAATCCAGATTAACTTTAGGAATTGCCATGACTTTTCTATGCCTGTTTGATTAATAAATCACTTCAGTGTTATTTTAGCATTTATTTTTATCATTGCATCAATATACTACTATAGGTTTTTTTTTCTTCATAATTTGAATTAGTTTTTATTTGAATATTTTAAATGTTTCATGTTTATTTTAGTTTAAGCCTCAGTAATTTTGTTGTATGTTTTTGTCATTTTTAATAATATAGTTTTTATTCATTTTTTTTATTTCTTAGTTATTTTAGTACTTTAAATTAAAATAAATAAACTAGAAATGCTGACTTCAAATTGCAACTTAATGAGATTAAGTTTAATAATAAATAAGTTAAAGTTTTTTTACATTATGTATTTTTAACATATTTTATATGTAAAGTCATGCAATTTCAAATTAGTGATTAACAGGGATTTCTTTATCTATAAAAACATTAAGAAACATTTTTGTTATTTGAAATAAATGTTAACTAAAAATACACAATCAATATATATATTTTTTTACACATTTTATTTTAGTCAATGTTTATTTATAAATATCAAATAAAAAAGGTTTTAGTTACAGAAAAAAAAATGCATGTGTAATATTATTTTGCATGTACTTACATGTGGATCATTGTGTTGAGTTGCCACCTTGTGAAGCTCCAGTAAGGACAGATTTACACTCTTTTCCAGAGCCAGAGCACATTCCAGCGCTTCCAGACCGCTGCCCCACTCATCCCGATCCGGCTTCTGCACAGACACACGCTCATTCACTCCATTCATTTCCCCATTAGAGAGACAGCGCTGTTCTGTACCTTGATGCACTCATTTACTCCATTCATTGCACATTAGAGAGACAGCGCTGTCCCATACCTTGATGTCCTGCAGGTAGATCCGTCCTCCTCTTTGGTTCTGCAGACTCATCAGCTTCTCCGCATGTTCTCGCTCCTCCTTAGACTGCTCGCGGAAAAACTTGGCAAAGTTGGGCAAAGACTTGTTATCCCTGTCAAAATAATACCCCTGGAGAGAAGAACAGTCAACCATGAACCCTTATAAAACCACTGAAGACAATTAATTCTATTAATACAGAGCTCTAGCGATCAGTCATGTAATAAATGCCTGCTCTCACCATGGACAGGTAGACATAAGAGGCGTAGAGCTCCAGGTAAATCTGTCTGTTAATGGCTGCCTCACACTCCTGATGGAAGCTCTGCCTCACCTGAGAAGTCATGATTCTGAAACACACATCATTCAAACAGAACACCTCAAAATTGTAACAGTATATATATATAATATATATATGTAATAATATTGGTTTTGTAACTTTTGTAAATAAACACACACACACATATATAGACACATATATATAGATAGATATAAAAAAATATAATATTTAATATATTTGCAAATATATGTATATTAAATTCTATACACACGGATGGTCATGGATTTTTTTTTTGTTTTAGCTAAAACCAGTAGACCAGTTTCATTACTTGAACTAAAATAAATATGAACTGAAATAAAATGTTACACAATTATTTTATTTCACATATTTCAAACAAATATTTCACATTTTTAATGGTTTTAGTGAAAGTTAAAGAAAACCCTTTTAATCACTAATTTTAAAATTTCATGACAAACTATGTAAAAAAAAAATGTTACTTTTTTTTTTACATAGTTTATATATAAAACTTCCAACTTATTTTAGTATATTTTAGTATATTTATTTGAATAATATTTGAATATTTTAGTTATTTTATCATTTAGTTGCCAATGCAACATTTGTAATTTTAATTTGAAGTACTAAAATAACTAAATCAGAAATAAAAAAGAATAAAACCTATATAGACATTAAAAAATCACAACAAAATTACTAAAACGTAAACTAAAATATATATGAAAAAGGAAAATACAAAAAAAAACCGTCGAATTTTGAATAAACTGTAATAGTATATTAATGATACATAAAAAATGGTAAAAAAATTATAAAACACTTAACAAGTGATTTATATGCTCATTTTGCACTTTTATTTCAAAGGATCTGCAAATACATTTAATTTAAAGCACATTTAATATATAAGAAGGTGCAATAATATGTAAATAAGTAATCAGCAGCCCTGTTTATGGAATATGGATTGGTATATTAGCCTACTTACCCTGAGACAATATGAATTACCACGCGTGATTTCACAATATGTCCGTATTGCTTAAAACAAATCAGACAGACCCAAAACGAGAGACTGGAGCAGCTCTCTGTCCCAAACACGAATGAAATGAGTCGCAGTAGAGCGTGTCGTGAATTATAGGGTTGTTGTTGACATAAACATACACACACGAGTTATTCTGGACCATAAATAAATCCCGGAGGTCACTTTTCAAAATAAAAGTGCTGATTAAAAAAAAAAAAAGAAGATGAAAACTACTTTATAAAATGCACACGTGTGATTTTACAAATATTTAAAAAAAATTATATATACAACAATACGCTCGTATTAATTCTTTTAACAATAAAAGAGGTTAATGAGTTATTCCGGTCCACCTGATGTCGCTGTTTAATGTAGAAGTCTTATAACATGAATATTAATTAAATCTCGGTGACGTTCCCGCTAGGAGCGTCCAATCATTAAAAGTGATCGGTATCATAATCGTTCGTTCATTCGCCTGTCGATTAGCGCCCGCCTACTGACGCTTGTCCTTAAGCCAATCAGTTCGGAATACTTACGAACGTCACGTAACGTAATTAATATTCATGAGCAAACCTTCGCCATAGTAGAACAAACGCAACTTCTGTTAAGTTTAAAATTAAAAATGGATTCTTTCTCACTGCATCCACCCTCTACTGTGTTTTTTGATTTAGAGACAACTGGTTTAGGTATGTAATTTTATAAACAAAATCATTATCAACCACGAGAAATGTGCAGAATGATGTACTTTAAACGGTTGTATGAATCAAGCAAACAAAAAAAGTTAGCCTATCTATGGCCGTGTTACAGCATTTTTGGGCATCAAATTCTCAAATCTTAGACTATAAAATGTTTATTCCTATTATTTATTCAGTTCGGAATACTTACGAACGTCACGTGACGTAATTAATATTCATGAGCAAACCTTCGCCATAGTAGAACAAACGCAACTTCTGATAAGTTTAAAATTAAAAATGGATTCTTTCTCACTGCATCCACCCTCTACTGTGTTTTTTGATTTAGAGACAACTGGTTTAGGTATGTAATTTTATAAACAAAATCATTATCAACCACGAGAAATGTGCAGAATGATGTACTTAAACGGTTGTATGAATCAAGCAAACAAAAAAAGTTAGCCTATCTATGGCCGTGTTACAGCATTTTTGGGCATCAAATTCTCAAATCTTAGACTATAAAATGTTTATTCCTATTATTTATTTATAATTGCATGTAAATGACCTTTCAGAAATAATTCGAATATGCTGATAATCAGTTTTAATAATGGTCAAATTATTATTAACGTTAAAAACAGTTTTTGCTGTCAATAATTCAGCTTTGCATCACAGGAATAAATTACATTTTGAAATATATTGAAATAGAAACCAGTTATTTGATGTTTTTTATTATTATTATATATTTTTGCTTAAATGTTACTTATTGCCAGTGTTGGGGAGTAACTAGTTGCATGTAATAGAATTACGTAATTTAATTACAAAATAAATGTAACTGTAATCTGTTATTAAGACTTTTGAAAGTCTGACAGTAATCAGTGTTGAGCACTACTGTAAGGTTAACCCTGCCTGCTTTAAATATTTGAAAATGATTGACAGTTTAGAAAAATGTAGAAAAAAAATAGAAATTTAAATTTAGAAAAGTAATCAAAAAGTAATCAAATGTAATCAGTTACTTTAACAAAGTAATTGAAATAGTTACACTACTTATTACATTTTAAAGGGATAGTTCATCACAAAATGAAAATTTTATGTTTATCTGCTTGCCCCCGGGGCATCCAAGATGTAGGTGACTTTGTTTCTTCAGTAGAACACATATGATGATTTTTAACTTTAACCGTTGCAGTCTATCAGTCGTATAATGCATGGCAATGGTAACAAAATCTATGAGAGTATAACAATGCTTATTGCATATATTGTCCATCTCCAGATGCCTCGTGTGATATCGTCCAGCTGGCCGCAGTGAGTGGAGGTCACACTCTTAACCTCTTCATGGTTCCTCGTCGGCCGATGCAGCCCGGGGCGTCCAGGATTACGGGTTTCAGTGTGAGACGCCAGCGTTTGTTTCTCCATCACAGGCCGGTGCTCACCAGCTCTCTCCGAGAAGCCCTGGTCTCCTTCATAACCTTCCTCCGGATGTTGGGTCGGCCGCTCCTGGTGGGTCACAACATCCGCAGGTTTGACTGTCACGTTTTGGCCAGAGCTCTGGATGAGTTCAGCCTGAGGTCAGACTTCCAGAAAGAGGTTTCTGGATTCGTGGACACCCTTCCTTTGGCCCGTCATCTTCTCAAAGACAGTGGCCTCCAGAGCTTCAAGCAGGAGAACTTGGTTAAGACCCTCCTGGGAGTTTCATATGCGGCCCATAATGCTCTAGAGGACGTACAAGCCCTGCAGAAACTCTACTGGGCCCTCAAGCCCACAGCCAATCAGATTCATCAGCACATTTTCACTCTCGACTCATTGGCTACTGCAGCTGTCAATCAAGCTCCAGGTAGACAGAGCGGTTTATGTGAGCGTTTCAGTAAAGCGCTGGATATTGCAAGAGAAGAAAGAGCAGAGGAACGTTTGGACGTCTGATTCATAATTAAACGTGTTAAAGCACACATCACTTTTATTTAAATCAGTATTTATAAAGTTAAGATGCTTTTATTGTGCAATATTGTTCATTGGTAATATTTTGTGTGGTTATGGTTATCAACGAATTATATATTTGTTTTTAAATAAATAAATGTTTTTAAATACTTGTATATTTGATTTTTTTTATATTTAATTTAGTTATTTAATAAATTGTATTTATATATTTTATTTGTATTTTGATTATGTTTAGGTAATTTTAAATGCTAATATTTTTATTCATTATCATTAATAATTTGTTTTATAATTTCTCAAATCTTAGTTTTATAAAATGTTTATTTATATAATTGATCATTTTACGTAAGCGATCCTTCGGAAATCATTCTAATATACTGATTGGTGCTCAGCTTTTATCAATTACTATTGATGAGTTATGTATATTATATTTAAATGTTATATATTTAATTGAAATTATTTATTTATTATTATTTTAGTTCTAGTATATGTAAATATTTTTAAAAAATTAATATAACATTTTATTATTCTTATTTTAATTATCTATTTTTTTTAATAGTCAATAATCAATCTGATTTTGGGAGGAGGCCCATAGGGATCAACTATTAACCTTCATTTACATATCAGGACTAGATCTTCACAACCTAATGAATTTGCTTAGTAAAATGGTGCATTTTTCTAGTAAAATTTTCAATTTTGTTAAAACAATTTGAAAACAAAATTACATGTAACATACAGAAGTTAACAATAATTCAATACCAATGGTGAATAATAATTAAAGCGGCAGTCCGTAACTTTTGGCGCTCTAGCGGTTAATAAACAGAACTGCGTGCGTCTTGTGGAAGAACATTGTAGCCGGAACTACTTCTCTCTGTTTATGTCTATGGCGAATCACGCAGGTACTGTGCTACTCCGCAGCGGTACCTACCCGAACCAGTCTAAAATAGTCCGAATATAAACACTTATTATAGGTGTACCGTAGTGATCCAGGACAAGCCAAAAACACGGTTCAATGTATTCATGGTGTACTCGCTTATTATATAAATTTTGAACACACAAAAAAAAAGTTACGGACTGCAGCTTTAAATAAATATTTACATCATCTACCATGGTTCAATGTATTCATGGTGTACTCGCTTATTATATAAATTTTGAACACGCACAAAAAAAAGTTACGGACTGCAGCTTTAAATAAATATTTACATCATTATAAAAGCTTTAGACAAATATTTTTTGACCGCAATTCTTTCATTTTTAAAAGCTTCATTATGTCTTGTAAGTCTATACTGTATGTACAGACTTTTGAAATATAACACGATCATGACATGCACTCCAAAATGCATTGTTTTATGAAATTTTGCTTTCATATCCTAGTTGAACTCCATCTAAAATGAAACAGCGTAAGAACAGCAACACAACCTTTGTCTGCGAAACCTGTTGTGTAAGTTCAGCTCGTAAAAAAAAGTGAGCAGATGAAAGGTTACAGAAGCATTATTTATTAGGGATTACGTACAGAGTTCTTCTTATCAGACACATGCTCCATTCCAGCTCAGAAAGCACCATACATTCATTCACTCAGACTTCTGCCATCCATGGCATGCTTGGATCCCAGAACACTTCAGAATAACACGGCTCCAAAAATATAGAAAGAATCCCGGAAATCAACACGTTTGAGGTCAGTCTTCTGGTTTTGCATGTATGAATCTGAAGAGGCCACTAAAAATACAGTAAACAAACATCAGGATGCCGGTAATTCCCAGCATCCTTTGTGCTCTCCACACTGCTAGTGCAAATAGTAAATACAGCAATAAAGCATAACCACAGATCAAGCCATACAGTCGCTTATAAGGGAGGATAGAAATCGGTAACAAAGTTTCACATGTATGAAAACACTTGCAGGGTTATTTTTAAAATCAGTTGCACTGGTAATCAAATCACAAAACTCGTGTCTGTCACAGGAGTGCTTCGTTTAGCAAGAACTTCAATAAAACTTTTTTTTTTTTTTTTTTACCATGTATGCAAATAATGTTTAGTCCTAGAAAGCTATTATTATCAGAACACGTGAGCATAACATA